GTCACATTATATTGCACAAACACTAGCTTGCATAGAAAGGAAACAGAGATGCCAGTGTTAAGTGTGAGGGCAGTGAGTGCTGAACATGGAATTAAAGCTGATAATTTATAAAGTGAAAAAATAAATCACTCTGTTTCTTGCAAGTTTAAAACACAAAACAAAATGAGAAGAAGGAAACAAAAGTTTATTTAAAAAAAATCTTTGTGGAGATAATAATTTATAAAACATTGGATTTAAGTATTTATTAAATATTTGGGCTATCCTTAGATTAACGGGCACTAAAGATGGCGGTGAAAAATTATCCGTTCGAGCCGCAGTCACGTGTCAATGGCGCGCTTCCGGCTACTTAATTTGCACTTTTCCGGAGACTAAACTAGATGGCTAGGACTCACGAGCAGAGCTGCAGGAGATGCGGAAGCTGCTGCTCGTGAGTCCTAGCCATCTAGTTTAGCCCCAATCCACGCCGCATGAGCGGCGTGGGCGCCACGCGGCGGTAGCGGCTGTTGGCGGAAAACCGCCGGAAGACTGCAAATTAGCCAGAAGCGCGCAATTGACACGTGACTGCGGCTCGAACGGATAATTTTCCGCCGTCATCTTTAGTGCCCGTTAATCGAAAGATAACCAATTTTTGTATTTAGAGTAGATTAAACACAGACTTTCTAGTATGATGTTGAAAACATTACCATCAAATGCTGATAGGTGTATAAAAAATAAGAGACAACACCATATGCCTGAAGTTATAATATTGTAAAAGGGGACCATCAAATAACATACCTCTAATCATGTAATATTGTAATATTATTGGCGCTTGTTATTTAACAGTATTATATTGTTTGATTGTACGCTATGTTTTTTCTTCTTCAAATTTTCAGATTGAATACTTGATAGAGGTCAACGTGATTTGGGCTTCTGGACTTAAAAATGAAGGATCATTTCTGTCTGATTTAGCACTGCGGTTAAACAGATTGCTAGGTATGTACCTGATTAATTTGCTTTCACGTTGACATAGGTAGGTGCTTTGCAAATAATGCTAGACACACACAGTTTTATATTCCAGTTGGCACTGCATGTGCATTGTGGTTTAAATCACACAATCTGTGTTTAAATTTTAAGACAGTTCCTGGTAATGTAATAAAGCAAATCAATTCTCTGGACAATTATCACCACTATTCAGTACAGTAGTTTTACCAGTATTGTTTTATCAGTGCCAAGCATGGACATTAACAAATAAATTTAATAATAAAAAAATAAAGAAAAATCAAAACAACAGAAAAGAAATGTCTACGCCGAATCCTAAATATAATTAGAAGAGACCGGATCAGAAATGATGAAAAAAATCGGAAAGAAGTTGGAATGGACCCGTATTAAACTACATCAAGAGACAACAAATGGTTTAGACATGTGTCTAGACTACAGGCAATGTGCACCAGAGAAAGCCCTGTCACTAAGACATAATGGATGCAGAGCTAGAGGTTGACCATGCAAGCGATGTGTAGATGCAATATCTGAGGCTGTAAATACTAGCACATTCGCAGCGCATACCAAGGCTCTCACCCTCTTAAATCAAAACCTGATGCTGAAAGGCAGTACATGACTAGAGAAGAAGAAGAACAAGAAGAAGAATTCCTGGTATCTGTTGTAGGCGTGGTTGACCTCGGAGGTCAGTTTTAAAAATCAGCTTCAGTGTGAAATGGCAGAAAAGGCAGTACAAGTAGAGATAAATATAATCTGTTATGAAATTTTTTTTTTTGACAAGTGAAAGTGTAAGAAGAGAAAACATAAAGAACATTGTTTGTTGAAGGAAAATAATGAATTACAGAAAAAAAAAACAGTTAAGTTTAAATGAGTAGATATTTTCAGAGAAATAGTCCCTATCTTCCACAACATTTGTGTGCATAATTTATATGCAGGTGTACATTGTCGTGTAATTTAATTTGTTTCTAATCTATTTCCAGACAGTGGGAAAACAAAAGGTTCGGCACTGTCTCCATCTTACCGATTTGCTGTCAGAGAAACTGACAGTTCAGAGCGATTGGCTTTAAAAAATGTTGAAATAGGTAAGTTGGAATGTTGTATTAGCTTCTGTGAAATAAAGTCAAAACTTATTACTGTATACATTTAATTAGATTGATTATTGTTTTATTTTTCATTTTTTAAAATTAATTTGAATACAGTGTAAGGATTTCGCTGTATTAAAATAAGGCTGTCTGGGATTAAGGGAACAGTGCAGCAGAACAGACGGAGCATCCATACCTTGAGAGAATGATTCACCGGGGAGTTAGCAGAGGATCTGGACAGTTTTGGGTGCTTTATTAATATCCTACCCCAAGCAGGGAAAATCCACAGGTCACGCGACAGTCTAGTATTTCAGGGGGTGATAGATAAGCTGCATACAGTCGTGGGACCTAGGCTGCATGCAGTCATGGGAGCTAGGCTGCACTCTTTCGTGGGATATAGGTGGGTTGGGGCTAGGGCCAGTTCTAGATGTTTTGGGGTCGTTAAAAGCATCAGACAGCTGGGAAACCCAGTCTTATCACCCTTTAAAATTTTGGACTGTCCTGTGACGTAATCTGGGGTAGGATATTACAAAAGAACCCAGTTTTCAACATGCAGGTTAAAGGACAGACTTTGAATCCGGTCACTGTCAGAATGGGAACATCTTTGCTGGTTACTACTAAGGATGGGGACAGAGCACCTGTGGGAATGCACAGAGTGCAGCCCCATCAATTCCTTATTCATTCAATGAAATATTATTGTAAATAATAATTCTGAACCATTGATTTGTGCAAGGTTAGTATTCTGTCAGCGAGCTGTTACTGTTTGTGATTTCTGATTCAAGGCATATAAAAAGAAAATACTGTTATTGCCTATAGTACCACTTTTTAGGGCAGTGTAGGATAGAAGGGCCTTAATCTTTTCACTCTGGAGACCTAAAAATAACAATGCTAAAAACCAGTGTTTTTTAATTTTTGGTTTTCTCAATATAACATTCCTTTAGACAAAAATAAAAATGAAGAGTTTACATAGTTCACAAAAAAAATGTATCACAATTTCTTTTTTAGACATAAACAAAAACTACTCACTGATGCAAGGGATTAATCAGCAAGATTAAAAGCAGCAGAGCATCAACTGGGTTACATCTTTCTGAGGTTAAATAAATTTAACACGGTAGCTCAATTTTGATCCAGCGACCTCTTACAAAGAATTAGAACTCATTCTTTCAAATCAGAGCCTGGTGTTCTGACCATTTGACCTGTTGCTGCTCTAATCTAGGGCAGAAATGATGATGATGAAAAAATAAAATGTCCAGTTCAATTCTCAAATCAGTCAGTTTCGTGCTGTAGTCAGTTGTATTGGTTGATTCAACCTTTTTTTTTTGAATTCATTAAAAATGTATGTTCATTGACAAATTTTTCAGCTTCTGACTTGAACCATGTGGCACCATCAGAAAGATTAAATCAGTACAATATTGTAATCACAGACCCATCTAATGTTATTTCCCAGCCAGTTCTTGCTGCAAATAACAATTTGTTCTTGCCTTACAACAATGCTGGTGAGTGGTAATGAGTGTTTGTAAGTGTTTGTTATTTGTTATGTTCACCCCTTTCAAAAACGATTTTTGCAGTCACTGAAGAATAAAAATCCAGCTCTTCATTTCAGAGAAATTCTTTGAAAATACATATATTCTGCAAAATCTAAAAATCATTGAAAACTGGCTCATGAACAGAATCATGTTTCAAACATTGAAATACTTTGGTCAGTGGTGAAAAAAAAAAGGGATTGAACACATGACTGCTTGGCTTACAGGCAAGGCTATTAGCCATTAGGCTACAGTAGAAGAAACCCATGTAGAAAAAACTTGACTCATAAACATTATGGCACCTTGGAAACTATATCTTTGGCAGCATTAAACGACACTGTGTTTAGACCAAAAACTAATGAAAAGTATGGTTCCTGGAAAACAAAACAGGCTGCAACCAGCGGGGTGGGAAAATCCAAATACTGACCTTCTGAGTCACAGATAATGCATTATGTGTGAATCACTCTTATCTATGGAATCCCTTCCTAGCATAATATGTTCTGTTAACTTTTTACAGTCAAGAAATCTGGCTTGTCCAGTGGTCACTACTTCTGTTGTTTTACTTTTCTGAAAGTAATACATTGATGAATGTTAGTCATGGATATTTCTTCACTGGCATCATTTATGAAATTTCTTCTGGTACTAAAAGAGTTAAATGCACTCAGGGCATGAACATGCATGAGGAAAGAGAGTATGTGAAGAACTGAGAGTCTTTCCAGCAGGTTTCGATGTGAGCAACACATTCAGCAAAGAACTTACTATGCACTTGGTTGGTCACTTCAGAGCTAATAGAGTTAGAAAAATTTAAATATTGTTGTTAATTTATTGTCTTTTTGTGCATTGCATGTCATATAGGGCTCACAGTCTATTTCTTCATTGTATTCTATCCTGTGCAGTCACTTTTTTCTCATGGATAAAACCCAGTCCAGCACCTTTGGCTTCTCTCATCAACATTTGCCTTAGGGTTTCTCTCTGATGTGCTCATTTCCTCAGTCCCTCTGTTTCCCATTTCAGTGCCCAGTATAGTGCTATCTTCTCTGTCTTCCAACTTCTGATACTAGTGATTGTCCAGACATTTCTTTTATTTCTTCACTCCTCTTGAATTCTTCCCATTTTATACTGAGGATTAATTGCAGGACCACAATGTTGGAAGGCATGACCACAGACAGACATGAACACAGGCAGGAGTGACCACAGGCAGGTGTGACCACAGGCAGGCGTGACCACAGGCAGGGGTGACCACAGGCAAGGGTGACCACAGGCAGGCGTGACCACAAGCAGGCGTGACCACAACTATTTGACTGCTTTAAAGAACATAAATTTTAATCTTGTATTAACTTTTTATATTGCTTTGCTGTCTGTTGCATTCATAGAAATGGATTTAACAATTGTGCCTTTATGTTCCCCTTGAGGTGTGGAGAGCCTGTCACATCAGATTGTTCAACTGGTGAAGGATGCCACAAGAGATGCAGCTGTTGTTAAAAGTTTTGAGGCTGCAAAAGGACTAAGATCTCAGAGGGTTAGCAATTCTCATTTTTGTTTACACAAATTATTACAGCTGTAAGTTTTTTTTTTACCACTAAGAATTCTTGTTGGGTTACAGCGTCCACCTATGACTTGTGAATACCTAGTGACATTCTTTGTATGGACAACAGAGTTTTACAAATAGGAGAAGGATGTTCTACTTCCCTGTAGTCCTGGAGTAGTAGGTTGGATCTCTAGCCTTCTTTAGTAAGGATGAAAAACTGTGCTGGATGAATAGGTTGTCACATAGCTAAATGGACATTTTTTCATAGAAAAGTTACCCACAAATACAAATTTATGGGATGTGGCGTGCTCACATTTAGATTTTTAGTTATGCTTTGGAGCTCAATACTAAACTGAGATTCATTTTGTTTGTGGATTGATCATTTTGTTCCCTCTGGGCTGCTACCTAAAGATTTACCATACCATTCTGAGATTAAAATGTCTCACTCTTGATGACAGGTCAGTGAGGTAGATCCCAGATACCCCATGCAGTCTCCGGGGACATTAAGGCACCCTTAATGGCTACACTGACATGGTGTAATCTGCTGTCCTGTACAGGTAAGCACAGACTGTGCAGAGACCAGAGCACCTAATGGGTATATCTGTGTAATGGATGTAATCGTCATATGTAAATATATGTCAGATATACAAATAAGATAACTGCTACCTGTCCTTTTTTTTTGCAGATACTTACCGAGTCACAAGAAACACACACATGCACACACACACATATATATATATATATGTCCATACACACACACATGCATGCATGCACACACACACACCCACCCAAACACACACATGCACACACACACACACAGAGAGAGAGAGAGAGAGAGAGAGAGAAAGAGAGAGAGAGAGAGAGAGAGAGAGAGAGATACATATATAGGGTTTTTCTCTGTTACACAGCCTGACAAAGACATCATGAGGTCATACCGGTTCCACCCCAGCTACGACATTACTTTCACTTTAATTGTACCAGAACCACAGAATGTGAATGTAGAGTGGGACATTGAAGCAGGCACCAGAGGTTAGTTTGTTCAGTTTTCTTAGTCTTAATAAAAAAAAGATAATTTTTAAAAACAATTTTTTCATTAAACAGTTTAGGAGCGTGCTCTTAAATGTTTGCCATGTTATTTCTAGATTGTCACTTGTTGTTGTTAGTTACTCTTGCGTCTTTTACCACTTTTCTCCTCTTTTGTTAATTCAGTACGAAGTCCAACTGTGTGGCCTGGTCTGGGTTGTCACAGTTATACCAGGTGTTTATCTGGCTCCTGCGATGCTTATAGAAACTGTTGGTAATATAAAGCCCGTGCTCTGCAAATAGTTTCAAGGTACGCTACCCATTGTAGTTGCCGTCTTTGCTGGTGTCTGTATGTGGCCCAAGATATTCTTCCGATGGTGTTCGTTTGTGCCCTGTTTGTCTATTTAAGTCCCCCATTTAGATCATCATTTGCATGTATCTGACTGATGACATCTGACAATGATGCAAAGAAGTTGTATTTTGCTTCCAAGGTGTAACCATCATTGGTGGGTGCGTATGTCTGTACAATGCTTGTATTTCTTGTTTTCCCATAAATTTGTAATACTATTATCCTTTCAGATACGTGCTGTATATTCTTGATCTTTTTTTTTCTATGTCTGGATAAAACCTACTCTATTAGTTGCTCTCTGCTCCTTCTTGACGCTGCTCCAGAAGTTGACATAGTTGTTATGGATTTCTTCTGTTATGTTGCCTTTTTTCCTGCAGTCTGATATTCCCATTATATCAGTCTTATGTTTCATCATGAATTCTACTATTTCTGGTTTATTGTTACACGTTTATATCATTAGTAATAGTCACATTCACCATCATCTGTGGCAGCAGTAATGGTCCCAAACAATTTGCATCAGTAGAAGCAGTAGTTGGCCTTGGGGTCTTATGCTTATAAGCTAAGCATTTACTCTTGCTGCACACACAAACAGGCTTACACACACACACACACACGCATATATATATATATATATATATATATATATATATATATATACATATATATATATATATATATATATATATATATATATATATATATATATATATATATATATATATATATATATATATATATATATATATATACAAGACCAAAGGGGTAGGGGGGGGGGAAGAGAGAGAGAAAGAGGGCAGGCGTCCTTTTTTTAAAACTCCCAAGGTATTTGAACTGGTTGACCTGCTCCATTACATACTGCCCCATCATGATCTGGTGTTTCTTCTCCTCTCTTGAGATCACCATGGTTTTAGTTTTGGAGATACTGATGGTCATCCCTCTCTTCTCAAGCTCTTCCTTCCAGACAAGTAAGTTGGACTGAAGGTGTGCCTCTGATTTAGTTATCAGGGCCACATCATCTGCAAATGCCAGCTCTGGTATACAGATTGGTCTCATCTTCCAGTATCCAACAGAATACTTCTTTGTCTTCTCCTTACAGGTCTTGATGACATCATCCATCATAAGAATGAAGAGGTAAGGTGAGAGAATATCACCTTGCCAAACACCGCTATTGGTCTTTAATTCTTCTGACTTTTGGTCTGCTGTTCTTATATAATTTCTGCAGCTTTTGTAGAAACTCTGTATTGCACTGATCAGGGGTGCTGGGATGTTTTTCCCTGCCGAGCAGTCCCAGAGCTTGTTCCACGGTACCTTATCAAATGGCTTTTCTAAGTAAAAAAAACATAGGTGCATCTCACGCTTACATTCAAGGGCTTTTTCACTCATCTGTCTCAGTGTGAAGAGATGGTCTTGATTACTTCGGTTTGCTCTGAAGCTGCACTGGGCCTCATCCAGCTGCTCTACCAGACTTCTAAGTCTCTGCTCGAGAATTCTAGAGTAACTTTTACTAGGAACGCTGAGGAGGGATATGTCTCTATGGTTTTCACATTGTCTGTTATCACCCTTTTTAAATATAGATATAATGATGGCAATCTCCCAATCTTTTTGGTATAGTTTTGCTACACCAGGCTGCCTGGAGAACTTTCAGTAGAAGGTGCTCACCTGCGACTCCCATATATTTGACCATCTCTGGTGTTATACCATCATGACCTGCTGCTTTTCCCAGCTTAATCTTCTCAATAGCTGCCTTCAATTCTACCATTCTGATGTTATCATCCACATTGATGATTTCCTTTTCTAGTGCGGTTCGTTATTTCCAGGTCATTACTTCCCTCATCACCAAGGAGCTCTGAGAAGTATTCTTTCCATCCAATAGAGGTTACCAATTGCTGTTAATGTTTTCTTATGTTGCAAAAAATAAACAAACTAACGTTTATCAAAATCTGTACATGTGTTTGCATATGTAATTATTTTGTTTGCAGATTATCTTCAGCCCCTGCTGGATTCATTGTTGGAGTACACTAGCATCTCTGTCACATCTCAGGTAAGATTTTATGTCTCAGAAATGTAGTCAAACTGGCAAATTCATAATTTCAGACAGTAACTTTCGAAGAAGGGATGACCATGCACTTGCTGCTGCAAGTCATCAGTGCCAGAGTTTGGGTTACTTTTTCTGTTGAAGATGAAAAGTCATAACTTGTGAACACGCCATAGCATGAGTTTGTTCCAAATAGTGCATGCTGGAAATTGACACCACAGAGTCTGAATCAATGGGACTGGCAATGAATTAATAATGATTTGCTGAGACAGTTTATTGAAGAAGTGTGTCATTATCATTGTTTGTGCTACATGGTTAGCTCATTGTTCAACAATATTTATGATTAAAGAACCATATAGACAAAAATAGGTAAGTTGTACCTCACCAGGACATCACACAAGCGATAAACACCCGGTGACACAAAGTTCCACGATGAGGATCACCCATGGAGAGGCCCAGGAAACCCCGTTTAGTCATTAGGCCATATTTACGGCCCGGCTATATTTAGGGCCCTTGGCAAAAGCCAGGGTGGGGCTTCAAAATAAAAAAAAAAATTTCATTCCACATGGGGACGACTGTAATAAGTAACTATAGACAAAATAGTAGTAGTAGTTTTGCCCCACTAGGACATCACACAAGCGATAAACACCTGATGACACAAAGTGCCACCAAGTGGATGAGGATCTCTTGTGGAGAGGTTTTGTGTTTAACCATTAGGCCATATTTATGGCTGGCTATATTGTGGCCCCTGGCAAGAGCCAGAGTAGGGCTTCAAATAACGAAAAATTGCATCCCACAAAGGGATGACAAGATATGACTAGACAAAAATCTACAGTTGATGCAAATGGTGTACAGAAACAGAGTAGTGAGTGTTGATTTAAAAATAATATTTGTTTGTTTCCAAGCCCTGAATAAAATATTTATTGTAGCATTGAACATTTTTTAAATTAATATTTGCATCAGATTTATTTTAGAGAATAATTGCTCATTATCCTGATTAAATTGTGTGTTTTCTTTAAAATGTTGAAGTGTATATTTCTCCAGGTTCTCTATCTTGTCAGCCTTGGTGGAAAGCCCAAGAAGGGAGACAATTTCTACTACTATACAGAACAAGACCTGCCTCACATAATCAACCCATTGGAAACCAAACTTGGTACTACTATGTCTGGGATATGTGTATTCGTGGGATTTTTAGTTCATGTTATTTAATAAAAGCACACAATACATGCAGTTATCGACAGTAAGATTGGACAATCATGTAAGTTTTAAATGCTAGCTAAAGTAATGCAAAAAAAAAAAAAAATCACAATAATGAGGATATAAAGAGTGAATGAGACAAAAGTGACATTTTATTATATGTTATGTATACATTTTGAAATTGATCAAGGATATTTTGACAGAATATTTACTGGAGGGGAAAAAATAGCATTGTAGATGAATTACTGGCCAAGATTTATGAGCCCCCTCAACCTGCACAAAGTTTTGTTCACTTAGTTTAGTCAGTCAGCCAGAACTGCTGCTTGAACTTGTCTGTACAAAGGCGTTTTAAAAAAAACAAAAACATTTGTCTATGATATTTTCCACATTTTTATCAAAAACCACATATATACAGCCTCTATTTTCACGATAATTTAATTACTTATTGTTCACTAGTCACATTCATACAGTAGAACAGGATACTCAACTAGTTAGGTAGTTAGTTAGTTAGTTAGTTAGGGTTATCATCATTGCACTCCAGACATGTCTATCGGTGCTCAGATCCTCCCGTCAGTATGAACCCCAACGTCCGATGGCTAATAGTACCAGTTCTATGTTGATTAACAAGTCTTCTGGTGTGTCTGGTGTGCGTTTCATTTTTTGCTATGCCGATCTTAATTCCCAAGTCTGCCATTCTGGCGAGTGATGTGGATTCACTGTCTCCGAAGTCCTCTGTCCTTCCCATTTCTCTGAGGGCATTAATAATATCAGCATTCAACTGTCCATTTAGATGATTTTTGTGCCAGTTGTCATGTTTTTAATTTTCATGTTTATTTTAGTAAAAATTTTTTGATCTGAATTATTTTGGATATGAACCTCTTTTAACTACAGTGAAAAGGCGCAAAATGCAATGGTTTAATTAAAATCTAACGGCCTCTCACAAACAAAACTGATAGGCCAGTAGAGGGAAAGAGGAGAAGAGGCAGACCAAAATAGACCTGGTTACAGAACCTGAACCGACTGGACAGGACTCAAGCATGCAGCCATGAAGTCCATCGCAGGTGGAGAGAGCTGATCAGACAGTCTACAGAAACTGGTGACTCAACTACACATAGTGTTACGGGATGTCGACGATGATTTTGAATATGGAGATTCCCCTAACTCTTAGAAATGTGTGGTGCTCATTTTAAAAGGATGGGTTCAACCTACAGCTGTACTGCAGGTCAATGCGCTTGTCTAACCACATCCATATGCTAAGCCATCCAGTTATTTATCTCTTTGCCTTCCCTTTGCTTTCTCTGCATCAGCCTTGTCAGTTGTTACCAACTTCTTGAGCCCCATTTCTTCTCACTGCATGTCAAAAAAAATTTCTTATCGGTTTACCATTTTTATCTCTCTGCTGGATTTCTTCTTCTTCTTCACGTTCTCTGGCTGCAAACGCAGGCGGAAAGTTTATACTGTTTGTCCACCTGTGGACTTTAGTCTTGTTCCAGAACCTGAGTGTTGCGGGCACATCCATTGAACAGATTTGCTTTAGTTGTATTCAGATTGTTGGTTCCTTGCCTCTCAGGCAGATGCACTCCGACTTCGAAGAAAGCCCCCAGTTAGTTGACTCTTACAACATGCATGTTGGGAAGGCAGTAAGTCTGTTATTGTTTTCCACACAGTGGAGTTCCCAGAATCCATTTGGGGAACTGCGGAATTTAAAAATAAATGTTATCAGATTCTTACCTGTGATTATGTGAAGTTAAAATCTTTGTTTTATTATATATTCTCTCCAAAAATTTGACAAGTCTATGATATTATTTCTATTCATGTTATAGCATATTTTTGTTTTTCAGGTTCACATGCTTCAAACAGTCCTGCTCTAAACTTCATTGTTGGTATTCCTACACAAGATAGAAGTCCTCTTTACATTCTTGATAGCAATGGTAAGGGATACTTTTATTACTGTCTACCATATATTTCCTCCACCTAGGTATTGCTGTGGACCATAAGGAGAGCACACTAAAGCAACTAGCCATAGAATGCTAATGTATATGTTGAAGGCAGAATCTGAACACTTTCGAAATGTGCGGAGTGCAATGAGGATAACCCAACTGATAACTCAGCGTAAGTAACCCACTGTGTTTATAATGAGAAGCAGCTTAAGAAGGTATGGCATGATACTTGTTACTTGTTACCTCATCCTGTTGAAAACTATAACTGTAGATTCCAACCAATCCTGAACACATTTGCAAAGAGCTTAGTGTGGGTTGGTTGAGAAAGCAAGAAAAAGTCCAATCATTGTCCTCATTCCACTTTTACAGTGCTCACTATGAGTGTATATAAATGTAGTTATGATATTAGCGCTTGTTTCGACGGACTTATCTGATTGGTCTCATAAATTGGAAGCTTTTGAAACAGAAAAAACTGTGGTATCCTTTTATGCGTATGGTTAGTTGCGTATCTTTACAGGACGTTGCAAAACCAACCCCAGCAGCCCCTGGCTGTTGTGTGGTTTTTCTAGGCAAATTTACGTCTAGTAGTTTGCCATTGCTTTCTGGATGGTCGGCCCCCTGATACCACTTTCAAAACCAACGCAAGGCACATGGCCCGCAGCTGGGATCGAACCCGGCACGCTGGCATTATAAAGCGTTTGTATCGACTTAGCCCCAGAGCTTTATGCGTAAACAGTGATATAATGCTAGAGATGAATTACGCTTCCATCATGGAGCTAAGTTTGGCTGCTTCATACTGATGCTAATTCTGAAAAACAGGAGATTTTAATAAACCAATAGCAGATATGTTTTACTTTTATATAATCCTTTGTGTAGATAATGGGCACAAAGAGCACTTGTTGATATTAGTTCATATAATATTTATGTTTCTGCTCTGATACTTCTTAGTATCTAAAAAACCAACCAAGTATGAAGGTCTGGGTTGCCTATGCTAATATACCGCTCGATCTCCTTCATGGATGGGCTTTTAATACTTGCAGTTCTGCATAATTTAACACCTGGGCACACTTAGCACAGCACCATCAAATTCAGCCATGGCTATCTCAAAGAGTCAACAATAGTGACTTGTGACAGGCCACACAAACTTTAATATCATTGATATAAAATACAAGGCACAAGATGATGATGATTATGTATGTATGATAATAAGTTTCTATTATCTTGACTGGCAGTCTTAACAATGAACACACTCTTCTCAATATACACCCGCTACTGCAGTAACCCAAATATGATCACATAGAGAAACATTAATACAACATCCTCCTAAAGAGAACAGATTGCAGTCTTCTGCAAACCTGCGGAAACAACAAAGTCTGACCTAGACGGTTCCAAAATCTCAGCTAGCTCCCAACTGACTCTACCTCTGAATTCTATCCCTAGAATTAAATTAAGTTCTAACAGGGAATGTATTCTCCTCTATACACAAATTCATTCTCATAGTTTAAACTCTAACAACTTAAATTCTCATTACACCAGTATAATTAACTCTGGACCTCGCTGACACAACCCTGTTATCCCTGATAACACCCACACACTCTCCTCTCAGATAAATCTACCTGTACTCAGGAATTAATTATGCCTTGTCACCCCCATCGCTGGTTCTCAGCTAGGAACCAATTTCATCACGACCTAATAAGAACATCGCCTGAGTAACTCAAGATTCATGGCCATGTGACTTCTACCTCTCGTCTTCCTGCTAATTTAAATTTTAATCAACCGCTAAATAGGACTACAACAAAATATCAAAATAGGCAAACCTTTGAAAAAATAATTTATAAATATACAAAGAAGTAATCATAATTCATTTCATTTGTACATAATGACAGAATGTGAGATGATTAATTTATGTCAGAAAAACACAATCACATACGCTTCCCAATTATTTGTATCATCAGTGTCCCCACAGAGACATAGATGTGACTAAAAGTAACGACTAATAATATTATGAGAGCTTGACATAAAAAAAAATCAACCTGATGATTTAAGGCTGAATGACAAGTGCAGTCACCATGAACTGTTATTTTTGCCTGTGACATAAAGTTTTTCTCCTGTAACCAAAATTCAAAAACCATAATAAGCTTGATAAAGAAATTATTTAGATGTATTTCTAGGGAATCAAAGAAAGTAATTAGAAAACAAAAAAGATAGCAAAGAATAAAATATACACATTAAGAAAAAAATAACTGTTAAAAAAAAAGTAGCAAGGATGCTGATGCTGAAGAAACAAAGATGCTGAAGAAACAAAAATGCTTCTAAAAACATAAAAGCATTGAAGCAAACTATTTGCAGTTACAGCTATATAACTATCTGTGAATTTTTTTCATATAATATGTTCATGTTGGTTATTCATGGAAGATATCCATCTATTGTTTTCTTTTTTTATTATAGGGGAAAAGTTACCCTCAAATGCATTTCTGAGTCCCCGATGGGGTGGTATTCTCATCTACAATGCTGAGCAAGACAATGCCACTATTTCCAGCTCTCCTGCACAGTCTATTCAAGTCAACATGCACAGGGTCATGGAGGTGTTTGTGTCTCAGATCAGATTGTTGCTAAACATACATGCTCAGGTAAACACCATTCAGGTCAGATTGTTGCTAAACATACATGCACAGGTAAATACCATTCAAGTCAGAATGTTGCTGAACATACATGCATGTGTAGACACCACTCAGGTCAGATTGTTTCTGAATATACATGCACATGTAGACACCATTAAAGTCAGACTGTCTTCTAACATACATACACAAGTGAACACCACGCAAGTCAGATTGTTGTCTTATGTATATGCACAGTTAAACACCACTCAGGTCAGACTGCTGTCTAATGTATATGCACAGTTAAACACCACTCAGGCCAGACTGTTGTCTAATGTATATGCACAGTTAAACACCACTCAGGTCAGACTGCTGTCTAATGTATATGCACAGTTAAACACCACTCAGGTCAGACTGTTGTCTAATGTATATGATCAGATAAACATCACTCAGGTCAGACTGTTGTCTAACGTATATGATCAGATAAACATCACTCAGGTCAGACTGTTGTCTAACGTATATGATCAGATAAACACCACTCAGGTCAGACTGTTGTCTAACGTATATGATCAGATAAACACCACTCAGGTCAGACTGTTGTCTAACGTATATGATCAGATAAACACCACTCAGGTCAGACTGTTGTCTAACGTATATGATCAGATAAACATTACTCAGGTCAGACTGTTGTCTAACGTATATGATCAGATAAACATCACTCAGGTCAGACTGTTGTCTAACGTATATGATCAGATAAACATCACTCAGGTCAGACTGTTGTCTAACGTATATGATCAGATAAACATCACTCAGGTCAGACTGTTGTCTAACGTATATGATCAGATAAACACCACTCAGGTCAGACTGTTGTCTAACATCTATGCACAGGTGTGTTTACCTGACTTTCAGATTTTTGTCAAATGTATATGCTCAGGTATACAACACTTAACTCAGACTATTGCCTAACATACACGCTGACATTAATCTACCGCTCAGGTCTTTTGCTGCAGCTGAATTTGTTCCTGAATGCTAATTGTTATCAACACTACTGCCAAATCCCCTTCCTCATTTGACCTTTCCTACATTGACAGTTTCCCACAACATTTTCTAGTTCTCTTTTTTAGGAAATTTGATTTGCCTTAACAGAATATTCAGTAATTTTTTTAAATATACGCTTTCTTGCTAAGCCGATGGCAACCAGATCTTAAGTAATTTTTTAAACATACACTTTATTGTGGAGCTGATGGCAACCAGATCTTAAGTAATTTTTTAAACATACACTTTCTTGTAAAGCTTATTAGATCACTTTCAGTTATATTATAATTCATTTTCTGCAGATGGTGACAAAAGAGTTAAAGGTGCTAACTACGGGCAACTCTCATCTAATTAAGTGGGAAATTGCTGGCTGGCTGAGGTGTCGTTGTGTGGAAAACCTGGCAACAGCTACTTCAACCTTGCAGTCCCTGGCACAGCTGTTAGAAGAAATCGGAAACATTGTTATCAGCGATGAAATCGGAAAAGAAGTCAGTGCATTTTTTTTTTAGTTTTTACATTTGGTCAACGATGAGAAATCCTCATCATTGTTAAGACTTATATTGCAGTTTTGAGCCTGTGGCTCAGTTCATCCAGTTTTAACAAGCATATTTGTTTAGGTTAGATATCCCTAGGCTTTGACTAGAAGAGGAAGAAGATGTACTAGGCCACAGTATTATGAGATGGGATAGTCAGTTCTCTTTCGCAGGGCCACAGTGAGATAGTGGTACCAATTTAATGAGACCAGGTTAATCCCAGAGATACATGCAATCACAAAGAAATTCATTTCTTTGTAACTTAGTCGTTAGTCGTTATGGTTTCGGCATCACAGCAAACGAGTTAGGCCCATAATTGCTCAACCGCCTGTGTCAGTGATTCCAGTCTCAAACTGAGTCAGATACGCTGGATACTTGAATGCCGTAGCCATACAAAGTGTTCTCAGTCAGCAAAACGCACACGATTTGATCTGGCAAACCATAAGGTGCAGGCCTCCTTAAACACTCTGCGAGACCAGGCGTCATCTCTGAAAATCAACTTCATTCGACAAATAGTTGGGCGATGAGTAGATTAAAACTATTCCTGACCATTCTCCACATGTCCTCGGCCAAGCTGCAGCCTCGGCCAGCAAAAAAAATAGCAGCTATAGCACACACCTTGTCCCAGGAACAGAACGAAGAAAAATACATCACCCATCATTGCCATTATGTGCGAATCTGGAACTCAGTCAATAACCGATAATCACAGCTCACAGTGCCCCCAGGAGCACTAAACTCGGTAGCTCTAACTGCAAACCAGACTTCCACAATCTTGCAACATCGAAACTGGAGGAGAAACGGTGACATAAACGGTCAACATAAGCCAAGTTCTCAACCATCATCCATTCCCTATCAATGTCCTTCTTCTTTGTAACTGTGGATGTGAATAACATCAACACAAATCTGTTTCTAACTTCTAAAGGATTATGTTGTTCAGTGTAACATTTAGACGATTATCTCATGTGGTGAGACCATCCAAGTATTTATCTGTTTGTCTTCCCCTCTCACTTTCCCATCAGTATCAGGAGAAACATAACATTCTGTTTCTTAATTTTGCTATTTCAGACTGTATCTCTAAGCCAGAATATTTTAATGCTGTGTACGCTTGTCATTTGAAGAGAAAAAAAGAGTTCTTAATAGCTATATATGGAGCCAATCCTGATGTACAGAGGTGAATCATGGATGGTCAACTGATTAATGAAAAATTATGTAGAAGCTGCAAAAATGTTTTTAAACAAAATATAATAATACATGGACAGATTAAAAAGTGTGATGACTTCTTGAAACAAAAATCTTGGCTAAGACATGATTGCCTACATCAGAAGAGTACAGTCTTTAGTCTCTGGCTATGTTGTGAGATACGAAAAATTGATGTAACGGTAGAAAATTGGAGGGGAAGAGAGCCAGAGGGAGATCACGAGAGAAGGTACTGGACCATTTGATATCATGGCATAAAGGAACATCTGTATCAGAATTAATTTACAGTACACAAAACAGAATGCTGCAGGCAGACATGGCTTCGAATTCCACACGTAATAAAACGATAAAAGACAACTCTAGATCAAACCCCCACCCCTCCACACACACACACACACACACACACACATATATGCACACAAGTACATGCTCATATACATGCATGCGCACCCGCACTCACACAATAACACACTCGCACACACAATCTCTTCGAATTCCCCTAGATCAAACCCCCCACCCCTCCCTCCCCTCTCTCATGCGCTCCCTCCCCCTCACAATAACCTCACTCCACCCCTCTCTCTCCCCCTCCCTCCCTCTCTCTCCCTCTCCCTCTCTCTCTCTCCTTCTTCTCTCTCTATATCTCTCTCTCTCTCTCTCCTCTCTCTCTCTCTTCTCTCTCTCTCTCTCTCTCTCTCTCTCTCTCTCTCTCTCTCTCTCTCTCTCGTCCTTTTGGTACTGCCAAGTTGACTTAACGGCAGCACTGCCACTGTTTATATCCTATGGTTGAAAGAGTTCTTAGTTGATAAGCCAGTTGCAAATAAACTTCCAGTTGTTTTAATGTTTTCTGTGAGTGGGTTCCGGGCTCCAGGGTGGGAAAAAACTAGAATAGACCCACTGCCTCTCTAACAAGCATGTCGAAAGAGTTGACTAAATCAGGAGCTGTTTTCAATGTGGGAGTACATCTGCCTGAGATGCAAAGAACCAACAATCTGCAAACACTTTAGTTAGATCTGTAAAACAAATGTGCATGCAACATTTAGGTTCTGGAACAATATTAAAGTTCAGAGGTGGACGAACAACCATAATTTTCTACTGGACCGGAGTTACAGGAGGTGAACAGGAAGAGAGAAAGTTTACATGTTTGACTCTTTAAATTAATTCATTTTATATTTTGTGTACATTCGTGCAGGTGGAGTCTGCTGTAGCTTCTATTAAAAACAGCCGCCAGCTTTTAGCCAGTGGTAAACTGAGAGAAGCCTTTCAGGCATCTAGGGCAGCAGTCGAAGCCTCTGAGACAGCATTTTTTCATCCTTCTTTGTTGGAGCTTCTTTATTTCCCAGAAGATCAAAAGTAAGTATAAATAATTTAACCCATATATTCAGCTTATACACAAGGTAGATAAATGGTGGCAGACCACGAGGCAAACCAAGAAGATGATGGAGAGATAATATCCAGACAGACCTGCATATACTTGGTGTCACCAACTGGAAAGAGAAGATCAACCAGAGAGATGATTGGAGGCGGATGATATCTGCAGCAATGAACCTCAAGGGCTCGGAATGCTGAAGAAGAAGAAGATATATTCATCTTTGTTGTAAGGTTTTAATCCTTTCCCCTAAGAAGCTGCAAAACCAACACTTCAGCTGAACCAAATTCCCTATAAATGTCACTTTTCTGACTTGCCTGTAGTGACCTGTTTACGAGAGGCATAGTTGATGCTTTTGGCTGATTTCACACATGTGCAAATGTTTAGGAGGTCATAATATTAAAAATATAATTTATGGAGGTTTTCTTTTGAGCTAAAAAGCTTTTCTAAATCCCAGTTGACAAAGTTTTCCCGTGGCCTCAGTGATAGAGTTCATGGAGTCACAGCATGCGGCCCTTGGCAATATATTCCATTTAGTCCTTCACCCTGTTCATGTTTATTGATTACTTCTTTCATATACCTTCATATATTGTTGGAAAGGGGGGGGGGGGTGTGGGGGTTAGAAATTTAGGTAAATAAACTTAACAAATTATTAGTGACCTGTGTAAAAAAACACTTTTTGTTTTGTTTGTTAAATGGAATTTAATGGGTCATGGACCTTTGTTATTTTAACGTTACTAGGGCGAAAGGGTTAAGTATAGACTAAGTATAAATTTTATGTTAATTTATGTGAGAATTGCACCTTAATTTATGTGAGAGTTGATTGGCACCTTTCCATATGAAGTGTTATATTATCCTATGAGGAGGCATGGGACTCATAGCGCATGGCGATGGCTAGTGTGACTAACAAGACTCAGCCGCGTTAAGAAAAGTGTGAGAGTAAATGTAGCATTAATGTTACATTGTTTCATTGTATGGGAATCCAGCCCTAGCTGTTATAACACTTTAAGTAACAGTGTTAGTTATTCTTCTTCTTTGTCACATTCACCGGCTGTAAACTCCAGCAGAAAGTTATGTGTTGTTCATCCACCTCTGAACTTTAGACTTGTTCCAGAACCTGAGTGTTGCCTGCACATTCGTTTTACAATTCTGACTAATTTGTATGCAGACTGTTGGTTCCTCGCCTTTTAAGCAGATTCAGTCCGACTTTGAAGGAAACCTCCAATTAGTCGACTCTTACGACATGCTTGTTGGGGAGGCAGTGGGTCTATTCTTGTTATCCCCACCATAGGTCCCTGGAACCCACACAAGGAAGTGTTAGTTTTTCAGTGACAGTTAGCTGTTATGACACTTTTCAGGATAGCAGTGTCAGTTATTTATGTGAGGTTATTCATTTGGTACACTGATGACTGAATGTCACACCTCTCTTTTAAATTTATGACGTCCAATTCCATATTTGATAATTTTGTGGCTTTCATGCTTAAAAGCAGTTTACCACTGTCAGGACAAATAAGCGCTCTACTCTGATCAAATGCATGTTATTCACTTATTCTGGTTGCCTGAAATACATTAGCCAAACTACTGTTTGATGTCAGTTCTCTACCAAATAGGCATAGTTAAGAGTTCCCTTCAAGCAGTTAAAATCATGGTGATGTACCACTCTCCAGTACTTTAGAGGACTGTCAGTTGTGATAAACAGCAAATACTAGTGGGTAGTTAGACTTTCAATGTGTATGTATTTTATGAAGTGTACTTCTTATAGAAACCTTTCACATTTTTTTTTTTTTTTTTTTTTTAAATATTGAGGAACCCTTTCAAAAGGAACCTTTACATTAAACATATTTTATATAGATTCAGCTGAATAAGCAATTTGTAGACATTATATATGCAGATTTAACTAAAGCAGCAGTAGTTTCTATTATAATAGTGGATAAGAATGTGGTTAGCAGAGAAAGGTTGGTAATAGAACATGGTAAGGAACACAGAATGAAAGAGAACAACAATTAGTATTTTTTTTTTTCAAGCAAGGAAAAGAAACAGTAACAGACTTGACTGGCATAGATTACATAATAGAGAAAAAAAAGATAAATGAAATCATAAAAGATTACACTAGTAACTGATGAAAACTGAACAAAGGCAAAATCTGCTGCACAATTAAAAAAAGCAATTCACCAGCTGTAAACTCAGGGGGAAAGTTCTGGTTGTTTGTCCCACACCTGAACTTTTGGTCTTGATCCCAAACTTGAGTTTTGTGTGCACATCTGTTATGAATGCAAACTGTGGGTTTCTTACCTTTCAGGCAGAGGCACTCCAACTTTAAAGAAAACACCCATGATTAGTCACCTCCTACAAAGTGCTTGTAAAAAAAAAAAAGGGGGGGGGGGGGAGGAGCCAGTGGGTCAGTTCTTTGTTCTCAGAGGTGGAGCCCATGAACCAATGCAGGGATGCACTGATATAAAATGTTGGAAATATTAAAGAGCTCACCACACAATAAATTAGCTTGAAACAAATGTTAACTTTCAAACAAAGATTGACGAAACTATTTAAAAAATAAGATCATATCTTCCAAGATACATTTTGTACAATTATCTTATCAACTGTTATCCTCAGGTTCGCCATATACATACCACTGTTCCTACCAATTAGCATTCCCATTGTGATGTCCATAATGCAGGCTGTGAAGTGGTTTAAGCAACAGAAGAAAGCCAAGTCAGAGTAATGTTTTCATCAATTTTAGTTCTTTGTTCAACTTTCTCATCTCTTTGTAATTACATGTTTTTAAATAAAAATTTGATCAACATTATTTTCTGTTGTGGTTGATTGACTGATCAAATACAAGATTGTGAAAGTATACATTTTTGAATTCTAAATGTAAAAAGTGAGTTGGAGATGTGCTTGTACAGTAGCTAGATGCATGCCTGTTAGCCTTATGGTCATGGGATGGAATTCAAATCGAGGCAGATAGGTACCAGGAGTTGTCCTAGGATGTGATGCTGGCTAAGAGGTGGTGGCCAAATCATCTATGAAGAATGGATTGGTCAGTAATAATTATGGGTCTAGCACCAAAGAGGGAAAAGGGCAGGAATGAATGAGGTCAAGGCAGCAATGAAAAACCAATTCGAACATTTCCCATTTAGGGCGCACTCCTGAAGACACAATCAGCTTCCTTACCCAAAAGAAACCGACCATTAAATTTAGATTGCATGCTGGACACAACAGACTATGCAGCCTTAGGTACAGGAAGTTCAAGATGAGGGATTTAGAACTTGTGTAGACAGACACAGCAAAATACTGAACATGTGCTACAGACATGCTTGCTACATGCAGTAGAGAGATCCCAGGTTTGGGCAGTCAGCAGAGAGATCCCAGGTTTAAGCAGTCAGTAGAGAGATCCCAGGTTTAGGCATTCAGTAGAGAGATCCCAGGTTTAGGCAGTCAGTAGAGAGATCCCAGGTTTAAGCAGTCAGTAGAGAGATCCCAGGTTTAGGCAGTCAGTAGAGAGATCCCAGGTTTGGGCAGTCAGTAGAAAGATCCCAGGTTTAGGCAGTCAGTAGAGAGATCCCAGGTTTAGGCAGTCAGTAGGGAGATCCCAGGTTTAGGCAGTCAGTAGAGAGATTCCAGGTTTAGGCAGTCAGTACAGAGATCCCAGGTTTGGGCAGTCAGTAGAGAGATCCCAGGTTTGGGCAGTCAGTAGAGAGATCCCAGGTTTAGGCAGTCAGTAGAGAGATCCCAGGTTTAGGCAGTCAGTAGAGAGATCCCAGGTTTGGGCAGTCAGTACAGAGATCCCAGGTTTGGGCAGTCAGTAGAGAGATCCCAGGTTTAGGCAGTCAGTACAGAGATCCCAGGTTTAGGCTGTCAGTAGAGAGATCCCAGGTTTAGGCAGTCAGTAGAGAGATTCCAGGTTTAGGCAGTCAGTACAGAGATCCCAGGTTTGGGCAGTCAGTAGAGAGATCCCAGGTTTGGGCAGTCAGTAGAGAGATCCCAGGTTTAGGGCAGTCAGTAGAGAGATCCCAGGTTTAGGCAGTCAGTAGAGAGATCCCAGGGTTGGACAGTCAGTAGAGAGATCCCAGGGTTGGGAAGTCAGTAGAGAGATCCCAGGTTTGGGAAGTCAGTAGAGAGATCCCAGGGTTGGGAAGTCAGTAGAGAGATCCCAGGGTTGGGAAGTCAGTAGAGAGATCCCAGGTTTGGGAAGTCAGTAGAGAGATCCCAGGTTTAGGCAGTCAGTAGAGAGATCCCAGGTTTGGGCAGTTAGTAGAGAGATCCCAGGTTTAGTCAGTTGGTATTCTGAAGGAAATCTAGCTTTATGGAACAGTGAAAGATGTGCTTTGCACCACAGACTACATAGAGAGCTGTGACCTTCTCCTCTGAAAACCACTGCCAGAGAGTTTGAAAACAAGAAAAAATTTTTATAGACCGATCCACTCTCACTGGGTGTTGTGGCTGCCTTTATTTCCAAGGACTTTACCTGGTACCCATTTTTGGTTGGGTCGACCTGGTAGCCCCAGGACTGAATGCGGATTAGAACCCAAGACTGATGAATGTCTAGCCACAATGCTGCTGTGGCTCCTATCATTATTATTAATGAAAAATATATTTTAAACAGTGTTAGCAATCCCCTGCTGTTGTGGCAGCATTGCTATTTAAAATCACACAAAAAGAAGTAACTTTCCTGTGCCCCCGACTTCCAGTCAGACGCAGCTAAACATGAGTCAGAGGACATTTCTTGGAAAGTGAAGTGTTGGTGGAAGATATCGATCACATCTCCTGATTGGTCTTAGATTGAGGGGAATAGCACCATGTGCCTAGTACATGCTATGGTATGGAAAGGTCTCCTTTGCTCTTTGTTGTCTCCCAATAGAGCATAGAGCCTCAGCAAACTGATGCCAGGATTTGAAATACCTGTTCCTGATTGGTTAGATTTTGCAGCTGAATTTTTCTAAAAGTTTATCTTAACCTTCTTGTGAGGCCTTTTATGACATGCTTGGTTGATTAGTGTGTTTCTATTCTGTATTTTCACTGTATACTTTGGTAGCACCCTGGCATTACTTCACTTAAACCAACATTATACATTCATTGCTAGGCCAGAAAAGAAATATCTCTCTAACTTTCTTTTTATTGTGGACAGCTTTACATTAGCTCATTGTAGCAGACATGTTAGTTAAATTTCTTCTGTCCGGTGCTGTTATTGTAACTTCTTTAGACCCACATTACTGCAGGACTCAATACAATGAGAAGATGATACCACAAAGACTTGGTTTCAAAAATCTGGCTGGCTGGATGGGCCTGAAATTAAAATCACAAACACTGCAGGCGAGTCCACAACTGATATCACAGCATTGGGTACATTCCAATTTGTGCTCCGTCCTCATCTTCAGCAGCCGAATAGAGTTCCAATTGTGATGGTACCAGCAGCAGTTTGATTATATGTCAGTTTTATCTTCCCCCTGATTGCAGAGTGTTGGTCAAATTGGCCCTGGTCACACCCTGCTGCACTTTTCTTTCCAATACCATCATGATATATTTGCGCTTCCAAATTGTTCACTTGCTTTCAAAGAACTTTGACCACATTTAGTATTGCAGCTATTGTCTGATTATTTGTTTATTAGATTATTACTACTCAGTCCCAGGCAGTTCACCAGTATGTTTTCTGTATATAAGTTGAAAAGTCAACCCTGTCATACTCATCTTTTTTTTTTGTTCCTATCTCTGTCTGTGATGAGATGTTGCGTCTCAAACAATTGCTTCTAACTTTCAGTAAAGGTTTACTTTCTTCTTAATCAAGTTTCTTGGAGGCACATAGAACTAAAAACCGAGTTTTTAAACCAAACCCTCATCTTTCTGATCATGCAAGCGTTTAAAACTAATTGGCATAAACCTTATATTCTATTTGTAGATCTCATTAACCTTTCATGATATTATTGAGTATTACCCTACAATGTAGGGCTTGAAAAATAGTCTTTTAGACTCATTATATTGCTCCTCTCCACGGAAATCTTTAGTAAAAGGCGAAAGATTTATGCGTTGTGAAGAGAAACCAGAGTGACATTTACCACAGGTCACTGAGATCCCATCATTTGACGTCGTGCAGATATTTACAGTGTTTTAAGATTGTATGTATTGAATAAAACAAAAGTGTTAAAAAAGTTAAGGTAATTTACTAATTTGTCCTCTCTTCAATGACACATTTTTAAAAATAAATTGTATATTCCAGTTTGCAGTCTTAGATATTTAGCAAAAAATTCTGACTTCCATCTTTGGATAAATGTGTACAAGAGTTATACCCCTTAGTAACATTTATTTTTGTAAATATTATGTCCCCATTATTTTAAGGGTACGTAAATAACGCTTGCAAGTAATACAGAAGTTATTTCCCTTAGACCGCAATTTACGCGTATACTTATAACAATTGAAAATAAACAAAAACGTCCTGTTTCCCGAGTTTACATTACTAACCATTACAAAACAGAACAGCTGCTGATACTGTAATTAAATTGAAACGGGTTTACCACATATAAAAAAAAAAAAAAACACACACACACACACACACAATCTAAATGTTCACTAAATTTTGCCATTTTGGGCGCAGCCAGCTCTAAGAGTTAGACAGTGTGGGCTTTTTTATAAGTACCAATCAGTTTTAAATAATTTTGCAAGTATGTGTGTATATATGTGTGTCTGCGTGTTTTGAAAATCAAGAGAAGATGGGTTTTAATGTAATTACATAATTATTTTATAACCCAATTGAATGTAGAATTTAGAACTCGGGGCACTCCCACAAACGTTCCGCCCCCATCTTCAGCATCAAGCGAAAAGATCCGATTCCGATGGCACTTGCAACTGTCCAACTGAAGATCTGTCTCGATTTTCTCTTGAGAGTTAGTCGTTGGCCAGATCCCCTGTTAACTCCTGACAGCGCCATTTCTCTCAGACAGTAATGCTATATTTGTGCAAATACCCTAACTTAGGTGGAAATGATCGCCACACAGAAACGAATTCAATCAGATAGCAAAGAAACCCTCCTCGATATAGCAGGCCTTCGGGCAGCTGAAAGAGGACAAAGTTTGACATTTTTGTTTGCTTTCTCGATTACGATTACGATTCACACGCTTCCAGAGTTCCTCACAACATCTAGCTTGTCACACATCAGTTCACCGCAAAGTGGTGTAGAACTGGTAAATCTATCTGCCCCCCTCGTTTCCCAGGACACCGGCATATCTGGACGGGGAAAATTTCCAAAGGACGCTAACTACCAGGAGCTCTGAAACGATGCTTGCCACTCTGCACGGGGAATTTCCATCTTCATCTTTCTCAACATGCTCTGTGAGTCAGTTACAATTGTGACATTTGGGTACAGCTGATTCTCAAGCAAGCGGAAAGCTGAAGTGACTGCCTCCACCTCCATTCTCAAACTAGAGGTTGTGATATCATAGGCCAGGCTTTGTTGCACTAACCGACGTCCATTCGCTTTTGCTATGAACTCCCATGCACTTCGTCTATCTGTCAACACAGAGCCACCTTTATAGATAATCACATCATATGGGCGGGAAATGTTATAAATCATTTGTTGAATTTTGCAGCAATAGCTGGCCAGTCCCTGCACTTAACGACCTTAAGTGATTTGAATCCTAAACAAGTCTGACTCGTGCTGTATCACTTTGACCCACGCATCTCCTTCTCCAGACTTGTCAAACCTGCACACATGTCTAATTGTGTCTTCAA